TTGCTTCTGACATGTCACTGTATTGTTTATGATCAAAAGAATTTTGGTACGATAAATATCAGAATTCTCATATTCCTGAGGTAACAAATGTAAAAACCAACGCTGCAAATTTCCACAAATTTATCATGGAAGAAACTTTTTTCCTATCTTTGTTGATGACCATGTCCTTTGACCTCTAAGTAGATCTTTAAGAATTTGCAATGAAGGTCATTTAGAGCAGTCATTTTCAAACCTTAGCAACCATGGAAATCATATAGAAGGCTTAAGTCATTGATTGCTATGCTCTTGCCCCAGAATTTCAGATTCCGTAGTAGTGTGAAGTCCCAAAATTTGTACTTTTAACACTGCTGCTGGCCCAGCAACCATGCTCTGAAAACTACTGATATGGAGGAACAAGATAAGGACCTGTTGCATGTGGGCAGCATTTTCTAACCACTAGTCACTAAAATATACTCTAAATTTAAAACAGCTTTCAAGTTACCACATGACAAAAGAGTTTTCAGTCATCCAGGGGTTAGATAAGCCGTTTCTCTCAGCCACATTTCATCACATACCAGGGCAAAGTGCAAGGAGAAACAAATTGGTTCTTTCAGTCAGAATGTCATCAAGTTCTAAATGGATCCTAAAACTTAGAATATGTTATGAGGGGGCTCTTGTGTGCAATTCTTGCCAATGCACAACCACAGGGTTTGTTAGTTTGGTTAAAAAATAGCCAGAGTTGTGTTCAAAATATTTGAGCAATGCAAGGTGCAATAGACAAAATTATATTATTCCCAGGAGCTGAGAGTAAATGTCTTCTGGTTTAGAAGTTTTGGCCATTTGAGTCTCAAGAAAGCTCCCATGTCCTCAGGAAAAATATGAGAGATAAAGAGCTGTTACCTGGAAGATGTTTTTGCAGTGTTATAAATATTTTTGCTTTTGAGGCTCGATGAATCTGCCCAGTCAGTAATGAGCTAGGTTAACTCTGCAACGGTGGAGGTCTTTCTGTACACAGGTTTTTAGATGACTCTTTCTCTTCTTCTCTACCTTATTTTTTCTGTTTCTTTCTGATCTATCTCTTTCATAGTTGAGTAATTTTGGCATTGTCTTTTTCCATTGCGGGCCATATTGCTTTTTGTGTTTTCCTGAAATGCATGTTTATAAATACACAGTTTCTGTTAGTACTTTGTTAAATGCCCTGCTCACTTAAAATTTTTTCATTATAAGAAGAAATAAGGGCTCCTTGTAAGAAAAAAATCAAAAACATTAAAAATATTAATAACTCAAATGGTATCATTAAGAGATATGTGGTAAATACAATGATAATTTTGTTTATAGTCATTTATAAATGCATATGCTTATTAAATATATTTGAAATTTTCAAAAACATAAACTCAGGGTTATATATTATAAACATTTAAAGAAATAAAATAGCTTTCAAAAGTTAGAACATATAAATAAAAGGAAATGAAGAGAAATATATAACTTACCCATACTACTATCTCTACCTTAGATATTATCTCTGTTTATATTTTAGTGATCTCTGTAGATACTTTTATGTGGACATAAATGCACGTTTTTGAAAGCAGAATTTTGTTTCACATGTTGTCTTTACTTTCTGATGTTATAGATTCACTATCATAAATATATGTACACATATTCCTGGAAAAATTCTTATTAAAACCATGTAATTATGAGTATATTCATTTAAGACGTTTGTAAATTATTTTCTTTTTTAAAAACGACTTATTTGAGATGCAGAGTTATAAACAGAGAAAAGAAGAGACAGAGAGAGAGGTCTTCCATCCACTGGCTCAATCCCCACATAACCACAATGATTGGAGCTGAGCCAATCCGAAGCCAGGAGCAGGAGACTCCTCTGGGTCTCCCTGTGAGCACAGACACCCAAGCACTTGAACCATCCTCCACTGATTTCAACAATCAGCAGTGACCTGGATTGGAAGCGGACCAGCCGGGACTCAAACTGGAGCCCATATGGGATGCCATCCCTGCAGGTGGAGGCTTAACCTACTGAAGCACAGTGCCGGCCCTGACTTCTGCAAATTATTTTCTAGAGAAGTTGTGTTTATTCTGTTTCCAATAATGCACGAAAGAACTTTATTTCCTTATTCTTAAATATGATAAATATTTTCTTTTTAAAAAAAACTCCAGATTTTGATAAGTTAAAAGTGATGTCTTGTTATATTTTCTATTATCTTCCTTTCTTTATAAACATTATTTTCATAGTTAGTTGATAATTTGTATTTTTTATTTTCTGAATTGTCTGCTCATAGCTGATACTTATTTTCCATCATTATGTTCTACTTGCTTTATTTGCAGGAAAATTATTACATCTTAAGAATATGCTGGGGCCTGCGCTGTGGCGCAGTGGGTTAACGCCCTGGCCTGAAGCGCTGGCATCCCATATGGGCACTGGTTCAAGACCTGGATGCTCTACTTCCGATCTAGCTCTCTGCTATGGCCTGGGAAAGCAGTAGAAGATGGCCCAAGTCCTTGGGCCCCTGCACCCATGGGGAGGACCCAGAAGAAGCTCCTGCCTCCTGGCTTTGGATTGGTGCAGCTACGGCCGTTGTGACCAACTGGGGAGTGAACCATTGGATGGAAGACCTCTCTCTCTGCTTCTCCTTCTCTCTCTGTGAAACTCTTTAAAATAAATAAATAAATCTTTAAAAAAAAGAATATGCCATAGTTTTTAAAACCAGATTATCATCTTCATTTTCCACTGTTCAGAGTGAATTTCTATATAGTTTATGCCTTTATGATACCAATTATAAAATTCCTTATTGTAAAAAAAAAGACACTGTCTCTGAAGAGGGCCAGAAGTATTTTACTGCTGTTTTAACCTCTGAAAAACACTCATTTTTATTCTTGATAGTTTCACGGAAACCATTTTCTCCCTTTTGTTCCTGCATGTCTGTATTCGTTGTTTAAATCAAGATTTACACATGACTCACTTCCCTTTAGGGACTGGCCTGCTCCCAAAGGCAGTCAGATTCTGCTATTTAAGAAAAATTTCTTTGCATGGCAGAGAGAGAGAGAGAGAGAGAGAGAGAGAGAGAGAGAGATATCTCATCTACTAATTTATTCCCCCAAATGCCCACAACAGCTGCTGCTGGGTCAGGGCTGAAGTCTGGAACTGGGAACTCGGTCCTGATCTCCATGGAGTGACAGGAATCCAATTACTTGAGCAATCATCACTGCTCCCAGCATCGGCATTAGCAGGAACCTGGAGCCAGGAGTTAGAGCCAGAAACTGAACTCAGGTGCTAGGATAATGCCAACCCCCAGACTCGGATTTTCAATCACAACCAACTAATTTTCTTCATTTTTGATTTATATCAATAGAGTAAATTTGTATCCTGTACTCTCTTGTGTCTGTCGTCTTCCATTCAATATTAAATACTTGAGAGTCATCCTTACCGCAACAAGTAACAGCAGTAACAGTAGTTTCTTTTTTTCTTCTTCAATGTCATGTTAATCTTTAAATTATTGAATATTCCACTATTTATTATCTTTTTTGCTCTTGATGAGTGTAATCTGCAGTTCAGGGTCACCACAAATGATAACATTCTTGTACTTGTTTTTTGATGCACATATCTGTTGAAGAGTTCAAAAATAGTATTTATGGGGGTAAATGTTTTTTATTATTTTTACATATTTTATAATATAAATTACTATTTAGACAAAAGTACTAGCAATTTAGGGACTTTTAAATTGTATCAGTAATGTGCATGATACTGAACTGGAAGGAAGAAATGAAAGCATGGTGTTTTAAAGTCTTTATATTACGCATGAAGTAGCAGAATACAAAGGGTATTGGAAGTGTGGGTAATGGAAAAACCATCCAAGTATTGCAATGCTTTTTTTGCAGCAAAAAAAAAAAAAAAAAATCCTTAGTCTTTTATTCCATTTTCCACAAACTTTTTAAGTATCCTTGTACATCATATTTTGTGCCATAAAACACATTTTAATAAATGTGAAGGGATTCAGGTTACACTTCATATGTTCTTTGATACAAAGGAATTCAACCAGAATTAATTATAGAAAATACCTAAAGCACCCAAATATTTTCCATATAACTAACAAATAACCCATGGGTCAAATGAGAAATAGAAAGCAAAAGTGGGAAATATTTTGAGCAGAAGGAAAGGGAGTATACTAAACACAAAGATAGCAGAAGAAGGAAACTAAAGGAAACCAGTAGATATTGCTGGTCTCTTCCATGCCCATTCCCAGGTAAGGAAGAAGACACCCATCTTTGTTCACCTAGGAGTGTCTTGAGCCTCATGAGAATGGAACTGAATTTCCTTAGAGCGCTGTGTGTTCCAGCTCCTCTCTGGCTAATAGGCACACTAGAACAGTACTCAGTAATAAAATGTAAGAACTTGATATACTCAGTGACGTGGCTGAGGCTCAATAAAACTGAGGACCACTTGCACAAAATTTTAGAAACCAAACTAAACTTCTGTGACAGAAGATCAACTGCCGCCCTCAGAAACCCAGGAGCAAGCAGAAGGAAATGGGTTATAAAGGAACATAGGAGCAGCTGGTGTTGTAGCGCAGCGGGTCAAGCTGCAGCCTGAAACACTGGAATCCCACATAAGCAGCAATTTGAGTCCTGGCTGATCTACTTCTGATCCGGCTCCCTGCTAATGTGCCTGAAAAGGCAGTGGAAGATGGCCCAAGTACATGGCCACTCCACCCACATATGAGATCCAGACAGAGTTCCAGGCTCCTGGCTTATGCCTTGCCCAGCCCTGGCAGTTGCAGCCATTTGGGGAGTGAATCAGTGGATGGAAGATCGATTCATTCTCTCTCCCCCTCCCCCATTGCCACACTCTATCTGTAACTCTGCCTTGCAAATAACTAAATAAATACTTAAAAGATAATAATAATAATGATATTTTAAAAACAACGGAACTCAAGAAGATGTGTAATGTGTGTGATAATATCAAAACTTATCCAGTTGTCCACTTAAAGACTCGCAGTGCATTGTAAGCTAGTCATTCCTGGGTAAAGTTACTATTTTTATTTTTGAAATAGGAAACCTCGGCACATTTTTGGTTACAACTGTGAAACTGTATGCATGATTATGTGAGGGACTTGGGTATCCAAAGCATAGCCATTGGGGCATGGTAGTGTCAGTATATAAGGATGAGGTTATACCAGCTCAGGATTCAAGGTTAGAGGAGAAGAGACAGTGGGGGTCAGGTGGCAGAACTAACTAACTGTAGCTCTGTTACACTGGCCTTATTTGAAGAGTGGGAAGGTTTCATTCTCCTCCCGCAGAGACCCCTGAGCCTCAGTGTTTATTTAGACAAGGCTTCCATGGTTTCCATCTTCTCACATAGGATACCGCGCAGAATGACCGGAGCAGGACAGTTGAAGCAAGTCAAAGGGAACCTTGAGGGTAACTACCAAACATTCAGCAAACATTTAGTTGGCACCTATGATGTCTACTTTCTCCCTTTTATGTGTTATGAAATACAAATGGCAGAAACATATTAAAGATAAGTTTCAGTCTCTCAAATTAGCTCAGAGATAGATCCACACGTATAAATAGACGCTCATGCTTGAGATTCAAGAGCTCTTAGAGCACATCCTGTTAGAAATAGAAGTGAGGAGAGGAGTCTACAGCTAACAAACTGCGCCAGGTTAGCACATTTGGGGACAGACGTAAGTTACTCTAGGGTAAGAAATCTGCACCCTATTACTTACCCATTTTCATTTGTAATTGATTTATGTTTCTCTAATTTTACTCACTGATCCATTTCTAATTGATTTTGTTTTCCTCTAATATTTATAAATTTTTTCCTTTAGTAAATACCAAACTTATCTCAACAGAAATCATAAAAGTAGAACTTTATTTTCAAATTTAATAAAAACATTTTGGGAACTTATCAAATTCTCAGGTCCAGAGGGCATCTGTTATGGTGACTGTTTACTCTTTCAGTCACTCAGTCAGCAAATATTTACTATACTTTTATTAAATAACAGTTGTTATATAACCAATCTTCCACTAATGGGCATTTAAATTGTTTCCAACTTCTTCCTATTACAAACAAACTGCAAAGGACATTTGTGTGTGTATGTGTGCATGCGCTTGCCTGCAACTTTTTCCATTAAACATTATTCCTAAAAATGGAATTGCTAGGTCAGTGAATATAAATATTTTAAATCTGTGCAGATATTGCCAAATTTCTTTTCTGCATTGACTGGATTTAGCTTTGAATTTTTGTCTTTGGCCTTGGCTGGAGCCCATGGAGTTCCCATGGAGACACAAACTGAAACCAGCTTATAGGAATTTGGGGAGGGGAAGAAAAGAAGACAGCCGGTGAAAATAACTCTCTCCAAAAGTCTGGTGATGATGCTGAAGTGTGAAGCCCATCTCCACTCACCCCAGTCGAGGCCACTTTTCTGGGAGACCTCAGCTCCAGAGCTCCCCTGCTATGACCAGAGGTGTTTATTGTGACACCATGACTGCATCACAGCTTGGTTTGTCCTCCTGTGCCACCCTTATTTCAGCTTCACAAAAGTGTTGGTTGATCTGGGGAGATAAATATACTGCACATTTAGTTCCATCATAGACTATTTTGTAGAGAACCTGACTTCAAACATCTGAATCTACATTCCACATGAAGTAGATATATCCTTCAACAATAAAGCATAAAATCCTTTATCACACAACCAACAGCCTACAGAATTCTTTCCCAAAGATCCATTCTACATACTAAAAGAAGTTATTAAAAGGAAGGGAAAACCATCCTATATAATGTTCAGGTATAAAAGAAGAGCACCACAAAGGACATATAAGGAAATTGTTAAACATTCATGGAAAACAGAATCAAAAGGTAACCTTATTTTGGTGCAAATGTTCTTTTTTTTAAATCCATAATATTTTTTCATAATGTACATTTTCTATGAACTTTTATTGAAGCTGTCTCATATATGTGAGCAAACATAGAAGCCTATTTGTATAAAAGAGCCAATAACAAAATAACAATGGCTTGTTGGGTTCATAACATGAAGAAGGAAAATATATGATAATAAGAACAAAAATCATGGTAAACAATTTAATATGGCAACCAATTCAAGAGAAACTATAATAAACTATGAGTATATATTTTAACCTTCAGCATAACCATTAAAATAGTATAATACGGGAATAATAACACTATTTGCTTAGTTTTTAAAAAGTAAGTAAGAGAAGAATAAAAGACCAAGAACAGATGAGACAAGTGGAAAACAACAAGCAGATGGTAGAAACACTGTCAACTGTATCAGTATTTACAATTGATGTAAATGAGATAAACACTCCAATTAAAAGTGATTGTCAGAATGTACAAAAGCACACACACACACACACAAACATAAGCCCTTGGGCACTCTTACAGGATACAACTATTTACCAGATACACACTTCAAAGACAAAGAAGTACATAGAGCAAAACTCCAGTGATGTATTAAGCAAATATCATACTGACTACTTGAAACATCATTTAGCTGCTCTCCTTCTTTGCAAAAGTGGGAATCTTTCCCTCCCTCCCTCCTTCCTTCCTTCCTTCCTTCCTTCCTTCCTTCCTTCCAGATGTATTTATTTGAAAGGCAGAATTACAGAGAGGCAGAGGCAGAGAGAGAAAGAGAGGTCTTCCATCCACAGGTTCAGTCCCCAGATGGCCACATTGTCCAGAGCTGGACTTATCTGAAGCTGGGAGCCTAGACATAGCAGAGAGCTGAATCAGGAGTGGAGCAGCAGAGACTCAATCCAGTGTCCATACGAGATGCTGGCACTGCAGGTGGCAGCTTTACTTGCTCTGCCACAGCACGAGCCCCAAAGGTGTGATTTCTTTATAAGGTTTCATGGTGCAGAAGACAACACAGATATTAAAGGTGAAAGGAAAAATAATAAACAAATTAAAGAACCAGAGAATAGTAAGAAAAGGAAAGGTGAGAAAGACTAGGGAAACATCAAGGAAATAGACAAATTGCTAGATACATATAACCTATCAGGATTAAATTAAGAAAATACAGAGCTCTAAACAGACCCATAAGAAGCAATTGAAAGGCCACCACAGAACACACCAAACACTGGAGTGAGGGGAAAGTTTACTGTTGGCTGACGAGGCTGCCTCCGTGCACAAGAGAAGCAACAGCTCGCACTAGAACAGGCCTTATAGAGCTTAGCAGGGACGAGAAAGTAAAAACAGCAAATTCCATTGGGTGGGGCAAAAGCAATGCATATGGTTGGACCATTTGGTCACCTGATGTCTGGTACACCAGGCTGGTCTTAGGAAACTGAAACTTAGAGAAACCAAAACTTACTCTACCAAATGGCGATGGGGCCATGGCCTAAGATGGCATCTGGGACTTAAGATGGCATCTCGGATAGGAAGGTATCAGTTTCACTAACATCAATGGCACTGAAGCCATAATCACAAGTTTTCCATGAAGGAAATATCCAGGACCTGATGGCTTTACTACTGAACTCTACAAAACATCCAAGGAGGAACTAACTCCAACACTTTTCAAACTATTCCAAAAGTATTGAACAGGATGGAATTCTGCCAAATTCGTTTTATGAGACCAGCATTACTTTGATACCAAAACCAAACAAAGACATGATATAAAAAGAAAACTTCAAACCTATTTCCTTAATGAACTTACATGTAAAGACTCTCAACAAAATACTAGCAAATCAAATCCAAAACCACATCCAAAATGCCATATATCATGGTCAGGTGGAATTTATCCCAGGAATCTGAGGATGGTTCAACATTTGCAAATCAATAAACATCATAAATAACATCAATAAAATGAAGAAAAAACCAGTGTGCTCATCTCAACACATGCTGAGAAAGCTTTCGATAAGATTTAACATCCTTCATGACAAAAAGCCTCCACAAATTAGAAATAGAAGGAACATACCTCAAAATTATAAAGGATATATATGACAAACCAAAAGCCAATGTCATACTGAATGGAGAAAAGCTGAACGCATTTCCCCCTGATCTAGAACAATATAGTACTGAAAGTTTTAGCAAGAGCACTTAGGGAAGAGAAGGAAATAAAGGACATCAACATTGAAAAACAAGAAATCAAATTATCTGTGATTTCAAATGACATGATTATGTACATGGAAAAATCTAAACACTCCACCCAAAAGCTGTTGCAGGTTATAATATAAACATAAAAATGTAGCTTTTCATAAGGTAATGATGAACTCACTGAAAGAGAAATCAAGAAAGAAATCCCATTTTCAGTAGTCACAAAAAAATAAAATATTGAGGAATAAATTTAACCAAAGAAATGAAATAGCTCTATAATGCAAATTATCAATCATTGATGAAAAAAATCATCAAGGACATAAAAATGGAAAGATATTTGTTGCTTAAGGATTGGAAGAATCAGTATCAATAAAATGTCTATACTACCTAAAGCAATCTACAAATTCAAGGTAATCCATATAAAAAGACCAACGATATTCTTTATAATATATAAAAAAACAATTGTATTAGTCACAGTTATTACAAGATAACCAGAACAGCTAATAGAATCCTGAGCAAGAAAAATCAAGCTAAAGGCTTCATAATACCTGACTTCAAAGCACATTACAAAGTTATAGTAATTAAAACAGCTTGTCACTGGCAAAAGATACATACATCAATGGAACTGAATAGAGAGCCCAGAAATTAATACATGTACATTTATCCAATTGATCTTTGACAGAAATGCCCAGACAGTGGAGTAAGGATAATCTCTTCAACAAACAGTACTGGTAAAACTGGACAGAAGGAAAAGGGGGTGAACTGATCATTTTCTTTATGGCAATGTACAATCTGAAGCTAAGTATTAAAGGTAAGTATTAAATATTAATAAGATCAGCATCAGTAGGTACATTGTAGACCTCTGTCTCATTTTGTCATTTTGTCCTTCTTTGTTTTTGTTTCCCTCCACTCATGTATTAAAGGAGGCAGACCTTTCCCTTCCAAAGTTGTAGTCTTTAAATAAATATTAGTCAAAGTCTCCATTGAGATTTTCATAGTGGTAATGCACTGTGGGATTTGCGGGTCTCCAAGTTATGGCAATAAAAGTGGCATGCATTGGCGGCTTTATAGTCATGTATATAAGAAAAATCATTCTGTAGCCCCCTGGTTTTGGAGGGTGGAGTCCATGTAAGGAGAAGGAGTTGGATGCCATGAGCTCCATGTGGTGGGGTCCTCTCCGACTGCTGACCATGAATGACCAAGTCTTTGGGAGTCTGTGCCCTTGGGTTTGGATCTGATGTGGCCCTTACATTTTCTTAAAAGGAAAATCAAGAGAGCAGAGGTCCCAAATGGAAATGCAGAGCCAGGTCTTGATGTGCTCTGGCACTGTCTTCCCCTTCCTTGGCTATTAATTCATGGTGCCGGTGATGGCAGCACCTTCTGATGGTGCCACTGTCTTCTATCAATCACGTGGATGTGAAAATCAGCGTTGGGAGCTGCAGCGTCACCTGAGGTGCACTGAGAACATCTGACTGCAAAAAAGTTGAGCAAAGCAAGGAACAGCACCCTTTAAGGGGGAAAAAAAACTTTCAGAAGGAAGAAATGCAGAGGAGGATATAATTCAGGAACCAAACAAGTCTTGTCAAGTTTTAAAAAGTACAATTTAGCAAATGAATGGTTAGGAATCCAGCAGGGTATGCTCATAGCAACGTGCTATGACGTGGGAAACACTATCCGCTCTGGGAGTCAGGCAGGGGCTATCATTACTGGTCTAGAGAAACATACTTTCCCAGCTACCTTAATTCTCTTAAAACAAGAATAGTTCATCTGCCACTTTTTACTTTCCTTTCCTCACTGAAATTCGAAAGATAATGGAAAAAGGAGTAGATGCAATCAGTTTCCTTTATCTGGGGGAAAACTTCCTAGATGTTGCAGATCTATGGGGCTAATAGGTAGCATACGTGATGTGAGGACTTTTAGATGATTAGCAATAGACCTCATAGCATTCTAAGAGATGGCTGTCCTTTGAAATGCAGAATATGCTCTGTTAACAACCCGTCTGGGAACTGCTGCGGGCACACTTGTTGAGTTGACTGGCGTCACCCTTGTGCAGTTGGCCACTCGGTGCAGCCTTGCTGGGTAAGCCACATTCCATTCTACCATGCAAGTTTTCATGACCTGTCCACTCTTTGCCAATCCAGTTAATCCCCAGAGAAGTCCATTTGTTGATAGTAGTGGCTCCCTAAGCTCACAGGTCCCAGGCTTACCCCAGGGATCAGGATTCTGGAGTTGACGCAACAGCGCCATTGCCTGCGGTGACACTGGGTATGATGATAGCCTTCTCTGGCCAGCAATCCCGGGACTGCAGTGAGAGGCAGGGCCATCACTACCATAGGAGTCCAAACCACCCTTGTCGGCTGAGCTATGCCCAGGCACACGTGTTTCTGCATCTGCCTCTCATTTTCCAGGGTCTAGCTACTTAACTCTTTCTCCAGGGACTCTTTCTTGATAGTAGCAAAAAGGGAAACAACGTTTTCACTAGTTTTGGTTCAACCTTTGTCTCTGGGGAATCCAGCACCCTAGAAGTGGGACCCTGAAAGTCCCATTGTCAGAGATTGCTCTGAGTTTGTTCACATCTGGGTCAGGCCCTGTAGCCTTGAACCAGACCTGCTTTGTGGAACTCAGTGCTATGATCCCCAGCTTCTGCCTATGACTGAAGACGCCAAGCCTGTGTGCACAGTGTGTTGCATGAGTCATGTTCTGCATTGAGCCCACTGGGCCCTGTCTGGCAGAGCACCACTTAGTGTCTTTGCGGCTGGGGCCTGTTGCTTCCAATGGAACCACGTGACGCATTTAAAAATCAGTTGTCTGAGCAGCCTGGCCTGTGTTCACTGAGGCAAAGGAAACTCTTAGGTCTCAGTAACTCTCCCACTGGTGAAAAATAAGCTGTGCTGCAGAGCCACTGTCCTTAGAACGCCGAGCCCCGCGGCTCTGCAGGCTTGGCTGCGCCAATGAGGGAATGACTAGGAGCTGGGCGCATTGTTCATGGCCTCTGCACCCGCCCTTCCTGTAACGTGATCATCCCCACAGGCCAGCCCTGAGAAGGCCGCCAGCCTACCCTGCTCGGGAATCAACTTCTGACCTCCCAGCTTTTCCCCCCCTTCCCCAAATCTATTTTTTTTTAAATGCTAGCTCCCTGTCGTAAATTATTCTTTAGTTAGGAGGTTTGGCTCCTGTGTGAGTTACTGTGGTTTCCAAAAACAGGGAGGGGGAGGCAAGGAACATCTGAGTTTAGCCAAGACCCAAAGCCTGACCAGTGAAAAGTAGAAACAGGCTGGAAAAGAGTGAAATCCAAGGTGCGGAGAGGGCTTTTGATTCCCAGGCTCTTTCAACTGTTTAGCTGATTATTTGTTGATCATAGAACTTTCTAAAAAGGTCTTTTTCTGTAGTTGAACTTGTCTGGGGAGTAGGCTAAGTATACTCCAACCGTGGTTAGTGTGGGATTCTTTGGGCTTTTAAAGGGGTTGGAAGGGGAGTCCTGCAGCTGCTCCCGTGACCGACCCCTCGAAGTCCGGAACCTAACCGGGACCGGAGCCTCCCGGGTAGAGGTTTTCCTGAGGGTCCACAGGATCCTCCGGCAAGAGCGGAACAAAGGGAAGTGCCACAGACCCGCAGTGTGCCTGGGGGAGATCCCACTGGCACCACCACCCAGCTTTGCAAAGGCATGTTTGCTTGTGATTTAGCTAGCACTTCCCTGTGCCATCACTGGGCATTTATCAGGAAGGCAAAAAGGAACCCAGTCTCCAGTCCACTTAAGGGTTTATTTTCATTCCTGTCATTTAAACCCTCCTATCTGAAAATATCAAATCTCTTCTGAATAAAAATACTCAGATGTTCCCAACACTCTTCCTTCCCCTTTTCTCTTCTTTCGTTGCCTGTGGTTGTGGGGAGAGTGGCCTCCAGCCTTGGGCTTGCCCTTGTATGCAGTGGCTGCTGGCAGTTGCTCTCCCAGGCACTGCAGCCCTGGGTCTTGAGTGATGCTGACCTTCCTGGCTCCGTATTGTGCAGTAGGTATGTGTGTGGCCTCTTTATTTGTCTTAGGATGCTTCTCCCAGAGCCTTAGTACCCTTTCTTGCTGATTTGCAACCCTTCCCCCTGCCATAGCTTCCATTGGTGGTAAAGCCTGCCCCTCCCTCCTGCCTTTGAGGGCTCACCTAGCCTGCCTCTGGTAAGGTCCCTGATCCCTAATAGGTTCATTCTTACCCAGTTCAGCATGTGGGCCAGCTGCGGGTTGAGTTCAGCTCAGAATCAAAGCTTAGAGCCTCTCTCACTGACACCTTATCTTGCTGGGGTTCTGCTCAGGGACTGCTGGCTACCTGGGAGGTAACACCTTCTGAGAGAATGGAGTGGTGTCCAGGCAAGAACTACCTGGCTTCCCATTCCTTCCCATCCCTCTCACCCATGATAACTAAGCCCAGAGAGGAACAGACAGGAGACAAATGAGACTACTTCAAATGTTCATGGAGGGATGGGAATTGTGGTGCAGCAGAGTAAGTCACATCCTGCCTCACTGTGTGTTCCAGCTTCCTGCTATGTGCCTGGGAGGAAGTGGATGATGTCTCCAGTACTTAGGTCCTTGCTACCCATGTGAGAGACCCAATGGACTTTGTGGCTCCTAACTTTCGCCTGGCTCAGGCTCAGCTGTTGCTGGCATTTGGAGAGTGAACCAGCAAAAGGAGGATGTCTCTCTCTCTCTCTCTCTCTCTCTCTCTCTGACACTCTTTTCAAATAATTAAATACATACATACCTACTATGAAAAAGTTCATTGTAATGGAATTCAAAGTTTATTTGTTGGCAAATATTTTTGAAGTCCATGCATATGAGGAATATTCAAAATGTTCACACCAAGTGTGTAGTATGAGAAAACTAAGCATAGACTTCAACATTTTTTGCTCTGAACTTGAACATCTTTAAATTCTATGAACTTGTTGCAAGGCCTTGTGTGTCCCACGGCTGCTCCTCAACCCAGTCCTGGTTCTCCCTCACTTTCCTCAGAAGAGAAGCAGCAGTAGGTGTTTCCATGACTTCCGTTCTCCCTGGACTCCATTTCAGCTGGACACAGGACGTGGGGCATGGTCTCTGCCATAGCAGAATCAGCTACCCAGGTCCTTTAGGACTGCCCTCCAGAGGCCAAAGGTGCAGAACACAGGAAGTCAGCAAGGCCTCCACTTGCACTCAGTCTGTTTATTTGTTTTTAAGGTTTTATTTTATTTATTTGAGAGGCAGAGCTATAAACAGAGAGAGGGTGAGATAGAGAGAAAGTTCTTCTATCTGCTAGTTCACTCCCCAGATGGCCGCAATGGCTGGAGCTGAGTCATTCTGAAGCCAGGAGACAGGAGCTTCTTCTGAGTCTCCCATGTGGGTGCAGGGGCCCAAGGACTTGGGCCATCTTCTACTTTTTTCCCAGGCCGTAGCAGAGAGCTGGATCGGAAGTGGAGCAGCTGGGACTTGAGCCAGTACTCATATGGGATGCCAACACTGCTTGCAGAGGCTTAGCCCACTACACCACAGTGGTGGCCCAAACCTAGTTTTTAAGGCCTGAGTTCTTCCCTATGAGGGAAATGCCAGCCCTCCTGAGCCACAGGTGATGTTTCTGATAGCTGGGTCTTCAGGATGAGAAACTACAATGAAATATCCAGTAAAAGAGAAGGTAAGAACTATCAGGTTTTTCTTTCTAAAGTTTTATTTATTTATTTGAATGGCAGAGTTAGAGAGAGGCAGAAGCCGAGAGAGAGAGAGTCTTCTATCCTCTGGTTCACTCCCCAAATAGCTGCAATGGCCAGAGATGTGCCGATCTGAAGCCAGGATCC